AACCACACCAGCACGAAAACAAAACAAAACAACACAACACAAACCCCTTTGTGCAGCTACACAACATGACTGCCTCCCCTTTTGGCGTATTTTTATGCTTTTCTGTTAAACAGCAGCTCACTTTGGTCTGTCTTCCCCGATACATTCTCAGTGCGTGTTCCACCATCACTATGCCTCACTAGCAAACCGGATTATTTGGGATGTTTTTAAAATCGAGGAGAAAATGTTTATATTTTCACTCACCTTTGGTCATATGAAATGATATATTGGCCTGCTTTACCTTGTCTCCCTCTCTCTTACAGTAAACAAACAGGCTGCATAAGTAAAGGGAGAGAAATGTATTCGCCTCTTCCTCAAATGCCAAACCTCCTCAAACACAGAACGTTTATCTCACAAGAAAGACTGAGCAGTAAAAAGAAAAAAAAAATCCCAAAAATTAATTTTCTCACCATGCCATCTATGCACGTACATATGCTGACTTAGAAAGCCATGGTTCAACCCAGATGGGCCCTGCTGTCCTGTGAGGATGCATCCTGCAAGAAGACTCAAAGCGAATGCAACCTCAATGCCCTGTACCAATGCAGGACATGCAGTGGGATTCAAACAAATTCAGCAGGATTAGGCCCTTGATTACCATCCTGACTGCTGATAGAGTTGCACAGATTTGATGAAAAAAAAAAAAAAAGGATTTTAGTAATAGCAAATGGTCTCAATCAACTGCTGGTCAAGAGAGAGTATGAACAGAATACCTGTTTAATATGGGTGTGCTTGGCCTGTGGCAAGAGTTAAATAGGTTTTCATCCTAAGTCAAACATGTTTGTCACTTTAAGGTTCTATTCCTCACATGTCTACCAGACCTTAATTCTGTTGCCCTTCCTCAGTGTGAGAACTCTTTTCCATAAACATTCCTTTAAATTTCAGATTATGGCAATCACGAGCACAATCTGGGCTTTATAAACAGGGAGTTGAAGAAAAACCAAACATCAAAGAGATAAAAGTAGCATTGTACTTTTAATTATCAAAGTATTTTATTTATTTTAAAGGAACAGATTCAACTGTTTTCAACTAGAAAAGACCAGTGTCTTTTCCAGCTGCATTGCATCACCACAGCAATGCAAAGTATTGTAAATCCAGCTCAGGCAATGGTTGCAGTGAGTTAGCAGATGCTTTACATCACTGGAGCAGCATAAAGCAGCAAGCATTTCAGTCTAACCCATAATCTTTCAAGGCACTTTACAAAACAAGAAAAAAGGTTTTTCTCTCCATCAATGACTGCTGCTTAACTGAGAGCACGGAGCCATCTAGTTAAGAGGAATAAAAGGTACCAGAGAAATCTCTGCAAACAATTTTGAGGCAGAATTTGTACACTTTTCTCTCCTTTGGCTACCAAGAACATTTAAGTCTCCATAGTGTAACTGGTGGGAGAAAACTGTTTGAAACAGATTTCAAACTCATTTTCAAACCTGATTTTAGGCAGGTTGCAATGTAATGTTTCAACACAAGTTAGAAGGACACACTCAGTGTTACTTAGGGCTTGGAGCACAGAGAAATCAATGCTCCAAGATAAAGACAGATAAGCACTTTGGGCTGATATGAAATAGGAACAACAATACCATTCTCAAACCCCTCCTGCTTACCTAATGCAAGGTAAGTGGAAGTGGGTATCTTCCACAAAGATGAATGCAATTCTTCCTTCACTTGCTTTCAGTCTCATGTCTGTTCAAGGCTTCCTCCATTCATGAGCTGCAGTGCAGCCTGATTAGCTGAGCAATTAACTATGTCCTACATTGTTCTTCTTTCACCTGACTATTGCTTCAATTCTCAAGTGGGTGGAGGAATTGCTCCTGTTTGGCTAAGCTATTAACAACAACAACTACTATTTTTCCACATATTCTCAGGCAACCTGAAGTTCAGAGCAAGCATCTTTTTCTACCTGAATGCCATAGAGAGTAGGGGAATAATGCCATGGGAATGGCATCCCCCATCAACATGTGCTCACACACTGACATACACACATGCTTATTCACTTTCAATTGTCTTCTTTTACCTTGCCATGTTTGAAAAGTGACTAGAAAAACAAAAGTAGGCTTCATTCCCATCTCCTATCAGTAGACTGTTTTTATCCAAGTTCCTAGGGAAATGAGGCAAACATAGGATCATAGAATATCCTGGGTTGGAAGGGACCCACAAGAACCATGAAGTCCAGCTCCTGGCCCTGCACAGGACAGCCCCAAAAAACACACCACTTCTCTGAGATCATTATCCAAATACCTAAACCCTAGTAGGCCTGGTGCCATGACCAAGCATGATGTTTGTGTTCATAATTTTTTAACCTAATAGCTTCCAAACCCAATAGAAATATAAGGTTTTCAAAGACAAACTATAGTTCTACATGCCTTTTGTTATAAGAGATCAAGCAAGTTCCCCCAGCTGTGAGAAAAAAAAAAAAAAAAGATGTGTTAAGAATGTGTAAAGGGGAATGATGTGTGAATAATGCTGTTGCAGATAACTGTGCAGCATCCTTTCTTGGCTCCACTCTGTGATATGCCTGCACTGTGGGTGGCTGCATTGCAGAAACATTCAGTTTGCTTGAGTTACCTTTATATTTGCATCCCCATTGATCTGCACCCATGCAGCCAAATGCTTAACTTCATTTGCACACAGGGCTTCAGCATGTGAAACTGTTCATCCTTACATCCCTCCCTCCCACTGACTGTGGCATATCTTAGGTGAGGTTGGGCCCAGCACTGCAGCCTGGATGCTGCATCACTCCTGATGGACATCCTGGAAGTGCTTGGCTGGCTTCCCCATTCAGAAAGTGGGAAGCTTGAGCACAGACAACACTTTATCCAAATGACAATTACTGGAGTGCTTTCTTGCAAGCCATTTCAACTCAATTACTTCAGTGAGCAGTAACATTAATTTTACAGCCTAGGAGCACAGTGATTCTGTAATTTAAATGCTCCTGACAATTTCAATCACACTATGGTCTTCATGCAATTTTGTTCCTGACATTGAGTGACAGAAACCGCAGAATTGATGCCACTTCCCACAGCGGCACATGCTCATAATCACGCTGTCACAACAACCTGGCAGCCTGGCACCCATGCTACCAGGTCCTGGGCACATCCATAGCTCACTACCACTGACCAGCAAGATAAAAAGGACATCACACAATGGGGAAGAGGGCAGAGTCCACACTAACACGGCTGCTGCTACTTCTGGAAGCCAACGGCAGTAACAAAAGCAATTCACCCTCAAACATCCCGTTTTCTGGATTCCTTATAACACAGGAACACCCCATAAAATCCCAGAGACTTCAAGTATAGTCCATCACACCAGTCTGCCAGTCTCATTTTCTACTACAGACATTACACCCATAATTTGCTGCAGGAACAAGCATTCTTTCTTCCCCTCCCTGAAGTGCAAGGAGGGACTCAGTGTGCTGGGGGAAATTGGCAACTCAATGGGGGACACCACGGTTGTGCAGCTCCCACCTGCTCTGCATTTCTAAAGGATGGCTGAAGCCTACATCTCTGAAAAATCAGGACCTTGCTTTCAGAGACAAGCAGAGAAGCTGTCACGCATTCATCAGAAATCACAGTGAATGTGCACACCTTTTTCCCAGAAAAATCTAATAATTAAAAAAAAAAAGGAAAAGAAATTAAAAAAAAAGAAAAGACATCCCCATTTAGGTTTGACCACGTAGAAAATGCAAAACTTTTAGACCTTTCTCCAATTAAAAAGAAAAAAAAAGAGAAAAAAGTCAATTCGCTTTAAAATTTAATTATGAATGCCAGTCACAAACATTTCTGATGATTACATGGCATCCAGTTTGGACTGTTCGGCCTCCTGGTTAACTAGTACTGACACCCTCACTTTCTATTTTATGCTTGAGAGAGGTAGAGATGAGTGGCAGACATGGACAGTGACCAGTCAGACTTTGCATTTCTCCTTTACCAGTCAAAATGAAGAGGAAAGAGAAACCAATACCATGCTGAAAGAGGGGGCAGCTGAATGCAATGTCAATGGCACCATGACCATTTTGCAGAGGCACTCTTTCATTCCTCTTTATGCAGCTCTCCTTTCCACCGTGCCAGCAAGAAGCAAGGCAAGCTGGAGGAGAAGCAAAGGACAGCTGTCTGAACACTGAGCAAGGAAAAGTGCAGGCATGGCTCAGCACCAGGCACAGTCTTCCTCCTTACATCTAAACTAGACATGGAGTAACATTTCCCAGTCTTCCTTGCTTTCCCTCCTTCCTCCACCTAGTTCTTTTCTCCCAGAGGACAAGAATTATCATTAGGAAGGTCACTTTATAGCTGCTGAGTTTCTCTCTGGCTGTATCTCAGCTGAAGTTAGCACACTGCTGGGTGTGAAGCAGAGCCCTGCAGACCAGCTTCTATCCAAATCCCTAGCGCTGTAATTAAAGTAATTGCTATGTCCAATGAAAGAGGTTTAATTTCATAGGGATTCAGGCAAAGCCAGAGTGTGTCTTCCCTTCCTGAGGGCTACATAACAAACTCCAGTGGCATGGAATTTTATTTTGTCATTTTTAATTGTTATTAATTTTGAGGAAAACACCTGAAATGTTTCCACAAGCATGATCAAATATGTTAAGCTGTGGAAAATATGCTATCTGCAACTGAAAGCAATTTTAGAAAATGTATGAGAATGCATGACAGTAAGTGACTTCTTAGAAAAAAAAAAAGTTTGCTCTAAATTAATATGCTTCCCATGCAGCACAGTTTTACCTACAGAAAATTTTTGGTGCTGGAGCAAGTATTTAGTCCTGAAAGAAACCATTTTTTAAGTTATTGATGAAAAGATTAATAAAACAAATTAAACTTTCTTTTTAAGTACCCAATATACAATATCAACAACCATACATGTATTATGAAACTATTCTCCTGTGTGAATTCCTACAACTTTCATCCAGAAATTTTTTTAGAGAAATCTATCCCTATAACTATTGCACATATTTGGTAAACTCAGCATCATACTCTATAAGTTCTTTATAAACAGTCAAAATGTCCCCATGTAAATCCCGATGCAACAAATGCTGGAATTATTGTTTCGCACAAATCATCTGGGTGACACATTCATGGCTCAATGCTCTGGGTTTGCTGTGCATTGTGACACACCAAAGCATGCATGAGCAGTGACTTCAACCACACTGAACAACATCTGCACATTGTGGACATGGCTACAGTGCACTGAGCTGCCCCAGGGATCCCTAAGATAGTTGGCAGTGAAAGTGGAGTTGAATTGAGTTTAACAAAGATCTCAAATAAAATGCCTTGAAAAATCCACCCCCAACAATTCTGTTTCTAAAAGAAAGACATTAATGGAAAAAAGTGGGCAATTATCCTTTTATGAAATTCCCCTCTGTACCTTGGTTATCAAGAGATGACCATTGCAAGAGCAGTAGGACTGCTTGGGTGGTTACTTGTTTCCCAGGGACGCACAGAAGCTGTCTGCAATGCACCCATTTCAGAAAAGAAAACTCAAAACATTTAGAGCTTTTCTTTTTCTTCCTTCCCAAAGTAAAAAATGAGTTAAATGCTTAAGAGCTCTGGGAGAGTTGATGTGCAACTGCATACAAAGCCTCCACTCCCCTCTGTGTGAATCGGCTGCTTGATGGTGCTGTGTGGAAACTGGGGGCTGGGGGAGCTGTTGGGTAAAAAGGATGAGAGTACATTTTTCCCTGAGGCTGCAGTTTCAGTCCAGCTCCGGAGTGCCAGAGCTGCCAGACACCATTTCAGTTATTCCTGTGAAATGATGGATGGCCTCAACCCACTCCCTAATGAAGACTTCATCAGGAAGGCTGCCATTGCATCAGCTTCTTTTTAAGGGCAGCCTTAAAGGATAGGCTAAAGAATAAAAAAACAACAAAAAACCTGAACCAAAACACTGACTTCCCTGTGCAGTTCTCTATGCATTTCTGAAAAGTGAGGTGCTAAATGGCAGCAGGAAAGTCTTTGAGACATTCCTTTTTTGTATTTATTACCATCTCCTTTGTGTAAAGCAGAGAGGAAAGAGGGAGAAAAGGCCTCTCCTACAGGCTGAGACCTCAATGAACAGTAGCAAAAGATAGTATAGAAGGAACCAAAATGTGCATGCCAATTCATGCTGTGAATTCAGGACATCAGCTAGTTATAATGACAAGGAATTTCTGTTAAATTCTATAGCATCATTCTGGTCAATTTCATTGGATACTTCTGCTGCTGAATATTCCATCAAAACCTCTTTCAGGTTCCTCTTATTTTCTTGAGCATGTTTCCAACAAACTCAGCCATATTTTATGTTTTATTTGAGAGAAGGACACAGAGGAAGGCTATACTCTTGTACACAAACATATACATTGCACCAACCAGTAAGTTCATTATTGAACAGAAAAAAAAAATTTTGATCATTCTTTTATGACAATGGCTACATTAGTTAGAAGTACAAAACAGAGACTAGTAAAATTAGAATCAAGAATATTCTTCTAAGCAAGAAAATAGTAGTTGTTCATGCCTAGTAACCTGAATGATGTATACCATAAATAACATCACTGAGAACATCACTGTATTTGCTGCAGTGTGCAATGGTTTTGTTCTCTAAATTGAATTGGTGTTCCATTTTTATTTACGAAAAAATGGTCTCTCTTGCTTAGTGCCTTTTGCCATAATATGCATTTTACATGTAGAATACATGAAGCGTTTACATAAACCTCTGAATATTTTACAACAGATCTGTCCGTTTTGGTTCACAGGTCTGCAGCCATTGTTCACTAAACTTATACTCTGGTTTTTGACACAGTCAAATTCTGTTTCTCAGATGGAAAATGACATTCAAGTCATCATCACCATCATCATCCCAATTGTGTTCTCCACTCCCCTATCTTATTACTTCTGGCACTTAGAGTGGCTTTCTCCAAATCTGACGGGGCAGCAGACATGATGCCACATCAGGAGGTTTGCTCAGAAAGAAAGAAAAGGCCCTGCTATTGCCCAAGAATATAGAACAAAGTACAAAATTGAAGTTGAAAATTGAATGGTTACTAGACAAATTTCTAGTATGTCTGTGGCTGGTTGGGTTCCAAAATGAGGGTTCAGAACGTTTCTACTATCTGAAATGGGCAACGCTGCTTACTTCCTATAAGGAGGGTACAGCATAATGCAACATGTTATTTAGGTAAGGAAAACAAAAAAAGAGCAATTCTTACTTTAAACGGTGTCTTGTACTAACTAGATATAACAAGAACAGACCAAAACCCCAGCAAAATAAATACAATCAACCATCTAAAAATTAATGTTCATTCTTCTAACCATATTCGTTTTATCTCAAGTACTATGGTCGTCTTCATCCATCTTTTTAGGAAGAATAGGTGACTACTTTTTCACCAGTATTATAGCACTTTTTTCAGGGATTGGCTACAAAGTTTAAAAAAAAAAAGTGCAAAAGTGCAATTTAGTCATCTCCTCCGTAACAGTGGTTTATATGAGGATTTTCCTTTCAAAAACTAAATACAGAATAATGCAAGTGGCTGAAACCAGGACAACATGCTGCATTTTTCTTTTTCAGCACTGTCTCCCTTAAAGTAGAACAAAGCCCTAAACTTTCCACAAAGTCAACAGCTGAGTGAGAGAAGCACCAGGCTGCTCCCACTGTCTTCTGATAAACCACAGAAGCTTCTTGAATTCAGAGCTTTAACATCGTTGCTTTTAATGTACTACCAAGGAAGATAATGCACCTGCCTTAAATTTGCCCATTCTTAAGAAGGCACAAACAGGTCATCCCACCAGCAGAAGACTGGATGAAGAAATTTATTTGTAACACTCCCCCAGAGATGAAATTGAAAGATGAGCAACATCACAGCTGAGCAAGGTGTGATTTTAAGAGTGCCAAGACCTGGAAAGTCCAATGCACTCTTTACCCAGTCCCACTGTTGTTAGCAGCGGGGGGGAAACACTCCAAAGAATATTGAAAGTCACTATTTCCACATCTCAAAACCTAAGGAAAGATTATTGCTTCACTTAAATTCCCATAGCTGTTGCTTATAAAGAGGCATTGTTTCAATGGCAATGTTGATAAAGCTGGACTTCATAAGTGTGGTGCCCACATGAAAACTTCAGGGCACTGCATCTGAAAGTGCCTGATGCACTATGGATGCTACATCAACAATCACAGCTTTGAGTTCAGTATGAAAACTTGGGGAAAACCAAATTTTTTCTCACTGTAAGCATACTCAAAATGCAAACTGTGACTTCATGCACATTTTGGAACAGACTCCTGGGCTTCAGACTGTACTTGCTGGTATCAGCAGCCCTTCTTTGCATATTGGTGATACACTCTCTCTCTTCTTCCATCACTTGCCATGAGGTGAGTCAAACCCTACACCCAGCCAGGTGTTTCAGGGTTAATGCAGACTAATTAGTTGAGGTTCTAGGGTCAGTTTTGTGCAGAGAATCCTCTGTTGCCCCAGTATCTATGAATGATATGAATGCCTGCTACTTTCAGAAAGACCAGCTGTGAAGAGAGGTAGCTGCTCACAGACATAGACATCTTTCCACATAGCCTTGTACTTATTAATAGGTTCCTTCTTCTTTAGTGCTTCCCTCACATCTGGAGCACACACAAAGATGTAGACTTCAGTATCATAAATAGGGGGTGACTCTTTTAGGAATGTGTTAGCGTTTCCAACAATCATATCATATATCTTTGTTATTGCTCACTGTTTTCCTGTGTGGATAAGCTTTCCTTGTTAAAAAGTGTCCAGTAAAAGAAGTGCAGAGAATAAGAACAATTGAGGATGTTTTCAAGTCTTACAGAAAATTGTTTTTCCCTGGCAATAATATTAGGATTTAAAAGTTTAAAGTCATTCAGGGATAAAAACAAATATTAGATCACTGAGATATTGGGTGTTTCTAGTTTCATTTTACGGAAATGAGTTCCCCTCCTAACTACCAAAAAAATGTATTATTGTACTGTTTGAAGAAATATGCTACTATACTTTCACAGTGCTTCAGCCTTTTGCTTCTGCTAAGAGCCAAACTGCATTGGCCAGGCTCAGCACAGTCACTTTTACCTTGTCTGGTCCAAAGCCACAACTTTCACACTTTTTAAAGTGAAAATGACCTCACAGCAGAAGGATTACCCTCTCTGTTTCAGATCACCAGTGATATCTGCTTTATGCTGTTTAAAACTTTCAAATAGGAAAAATAAATTTCAACAAGGATGAATTAGAGGAGTATGCAGGTCAAAATGTCCAGATTTCATCTTGTACACAAGCTGGTATACTCAATATTTTTTTTTATTTACATTTTTTTACCTTATAAATGCAACTTCAGAATTAGCTGTCATATTCTGCCATCATATAGAGAGAGACATGTAGAAATAACATTCCTTTCACTGGTAACTGGTATTATACTCTAAGGTATACTTGCACAAATTATACTTCTTTAAATAATTCTGGTTGCTGTTCTTCTGGTTTTTTGAATCCAATTTTTTACCTAAATGGTGTTTTAGTCTTACTTGTCAAATCCCTTCATCAAACGATAAACAGGAAATGTCTCTCTTTACTAACTCCAAAATACTGTAAATGCAATGCAACTAAGCTCTAAAAAAAAGAACGTGAAAAAACTGTAATAGATGACAAACTGGGATTGCTTTGTAGCTCACTTGAGCATTGTGAGGAGGGGGCCCAACCTCAGCAAGCACTGCTTAGTTTCAGCACATTGTAAAGTTATCTCATGTTGGAACTAAGAGAGAAATTGAAGCTTCCATTCAATACAACAGGCCACATAAGAAATATATCCTGCCTGGTCCTCATTAAACTTCTAAAACATGACTGCAGGAGTGCAGTGCATAACACCCTCTAATAGCACCATTTAAATACCAGTCAACACTATAGAAGAGGTAGAGAAACATGACAGAAGTATTAAAGCTAAGTCAGCCCTGAAATGTCTGGAGTTTAAACGTCTCTCCAAATCTCTTTGGACTTGGAATCAAGAAGAGAAGTCTTGTGTGAACAGAGAAATGTTTTTCCTCCAATACCTGCTTGCAGTCAGGCTTCAAATACCAAGAAAAAAAAAAAAGACTAGGAATATCAAGGTAAAAAATGTATTGTTGGAATAAAAAGAACCACATCTTTTCCTTTTCACCTCTCACTGGCTGAAACCATTCTTTCACCTACAGAATACTTAATTCCAATGAAATGCAACACTTCAAAGAGTTCCTCCATTATCTTAAAAAGGAAATATGAAGAAAGCATTCTCTAGGGAAGAGTAAACACCAATCTAACTTGCTGCTGAATTTTAAGAGTGAGGGTTGGGGGAAAGAGCATTCAGTAAACATTAAAAACAGCTCCAAATAAAATGAAAACAAAATAAATAAAAAAAGAAAAAAAAGGAGGAAAGCATAAATTACAAATCCAGGGACAATGCAAATTGATTTTGGAAGGAAAAGCACTTTTCTCCTTACTGTTTTCAGCACTATGACAATTTTCTTCTAAAAACACTTCATTTGTTATTTGTCTTTAAGCATGTTGAGCATGTATGTGTGAGCTGTTCCTCTAGATAATTACTGTTAAAGCATTATAAACAGAAAGATAATACTGAGGGTGTTTAGTTTTGAAGAGGTGTGTGTAGTCAAACTTTCAAGCTTTGCAGAAAAGACTGTGCTTGCCTCCAACATTTTTAATCTTGGAAGAAGTTTCTCCTTTGAGATCTAGTAAAATTTCAGTGCTGTTGACTTCATGGAATTTATTTAATTTCAAACTTCAATATCAATAAAAATTTAGTGCAGTTATCTGAAAATAGGCTTATTGAACTTATATCAAGCTCTACTGATGGATAGGAAAATAACGTTCAACACAAACATATAAAAGATTTCTAAGGAACTGAAAGACTCCCATCCAAAAGTGCATTGTTTCAGCAAGTCTTTTTCTACCTTTCTTGTTTAAGTGCTGCATGAAATAAAATTATTTCCAAAACGTTTCTTCATAAAGTAAGTGTTCAAGTGAATCACTACGTGTAAACAAGCTCTACTGAGGATTCACGCTGCCAGTTTAGGATAAACTATTTTGTATATTCAACTCCATTTCTCTGGTAAAATTTCCCTAATGAAATGTAGTAAAACTCACAAACCATCAGATCAACACACACCAGCAAAATTAAACCCCTGAGAATATTCACTGCTTTATTTTTATTAGTACTGCTTTAAATATTCAAAATGTATGGGTCATAAAATTATGCTTAGGGCAACATTTTCTCATAAGTTCATTTGTGCATGTTTTAAAATAGATTTAAAAACTAAATAATTTTAATCTCAACCTTAATACAAACACAACCAGCAGAAGTAGTGATCTACTACTAGGGGCAGATCTTAATAAGTCCCTCCTCAAATTGTTAATTTTAGGGTGTTTTAGGACAGGAAAAGGAATGTATTTAAAAGCCTGAAGCAGTTTATATAATGCTTCAAATTTCTTGAGCAGCCCCCACATTCCCTTCCTTACAAATACAAGATAAAATTACTTGGAATTTCCTTATATTATTACTGAATATAGAACAAACAATAACACAGTCAAGAGTCAGACATGGTGACCTGTGATTATTTTTCATGGAAAGATCACAGGACAATATAAAATCTGAGCAGTCTAATAGAAAAATGGGCTTCCATGTAGTTTAGACATACATCTCAGCCTACAATTTATCATGCTATTACCCTGATCACAAAATGCAAGAGGAAAAGTTCATGTCTACATTCTCACAGATGTAGGGCATCATTGCAGCCCTCTGCACAGGAATGTGACATTGTAATTTGAATGGGAAGGGGTTTTTTTTGTTTTTTGTTTGTTTGTTTGTTTTTGGTTTCAATTTGTTTTTGTTTTTTTTGTTTGGTTGGATTTTTTGTTGTTGTTTTTGTTTTTTTGGTTGGGGTTTTTTGTTTTGTTTTGAGGGTGTTTTGGGGTTTTTTTTGTTTGGTTTTTAATTTTTTTTTTCCCCTCTCAAGGAAGCCAAGACAGCCTATGATATGGCACAGATAACTTCAGGAGCTAATGGATGCATTATCTACAGTAATTGGGAGAAGGGTGCCCTCATGTTCACCCCAAGAATAAAAAGATGCTAGACCCCTGATAAATCCCAGCCTCGCAACTTCTCCTAAGTTTTTTTGCCAGGTCTGAATGTAAAAACAAGGCTGAAGAAGAGGTGGAGGAAAGTGGCAGGTTGTGCAGGGAAACTGGCAGCACTGGAAAAGGAGAAGCTGTTGCTAGCAGGATCACCAGGGGATATGACACCTCATATTTATCCCCAAGATCTTGGAAGCATCAGGGACAATATTCAGTACAAGTCAGGCAGCTCCACAAAATGCACTCTGATTTGAACTGCACTCTGCCCAACTTTTGGGTTATCATGAGCTAGAAGGTAGACAGGCCAGTGCCAAAGGCTTCTGATGAGGTATTGCTGCAGGTCTGTGTATTCCACCAGGAGCAGATGCAGAAGCTGCAAGAAAAGTCACTATGAACAGCCACCTCAAGCACATTAAAAGA